CCGAACCCTCAGTGGGAGCGCCGCCGCGCTTCCCAAGCGGCGCACTGTAGCAGTGCACCACCGGGCCGGCCCTAAAATATAAATTTTTTGAAATGAATATTATTCAGCCTTAAAAAGGAATGAAATTCTGACACATGCTACAACATGAATGAACCTTAAGGACATTATGCCAAGTGAAATAAGCCAGACACAAATGGACAAATATTGTATAATTCCACTTATATGAGGTCCCCAAAGTAGTGAAATTTATAGAGACAGAAAGTAGAATGGAGGCTGTAGGGGGGTGGGGAAAGAGGGAACAGGGAGCGAGTATTAAATGGGTACAGAGCTTCGGTTTTGCAAGATGGTGATTGATTGCACACAGTATGCATGTACTTTACACTAATAAACTGGACACTTAAAATGGTTAAGATGATGGATCTTATGGGATGTGTATTTTACCACAATCAAATAATGTTTTAAAATTAAACTACCTGGGGCCGGCCTGGTGGCGCACTGCTACAGTGTGCCGCTTGGGAGCGCGGCGGTGCTCCCACTGAGGGTTCGAATCCCATGTGGAGACCAGTTCCCACTCACTGGCTGAGCGCGGTGCGGGCGCAACACCGAGGGTTGCGATCCCGTTGCCGGTCCCCGGTATGGGCGCGACACCGAGGGTTGCGATCCCGTTACCGGTCAGTAAAAAAGACAGAAAGGAAAAAAAAAATTAAACTACCTGGCATAGGTGATATTCCCCTTGGAAGGTTGTGGGTGGGAGTAGGGGTAGGGGTGTGGAGTAAGCAATCTCCCAAATCGAAGCACAGGGAGCTCCAAGTCACAAGGCCTCAGCAGACCATATACGTGTCATGAAGGAGGAATGGGGGTGGTAGGCTAAATAATGGCCCCTCAAAGATACAGCATACTTCAAAAAGTTCATGGAAAAATGGAATTAAAAGATAATACAAATGTTCCCATGAACCTTTCGAAGACCCCTCGTCCTGCTTCCTAATCCCTGAACCTGTGAATGTGACCTTATATGTGGCAAAATCATTGCAGATGTGATTAAGCTGAGGATCTTAAAGTGGAGAGATGATCCTGGATTACCCACGTGGGACTTAAACATAGTCACAAGTGTCCCTATAGGAAGGAGGCAGGGGGAGATTTTACACGCAGAAGAGAAGAAGCCCATGTGAAGATGGAGGCAGATTACAGTGATACGGCCACAATCCAAGGAGACACCAGAATCTGAAAGAGACAAATGGCGGATCCTCCCCCGGAGGCATCACGGCCCTGATGACACCTGGATTCCAAACTTCTGGCCTCCGGAACTGTGAAAGAACAAGTTTTAGTCGTTTTAAGCCACCCATTTTGTGGTCATTTGTTACACGAGGCTACTACATAGGGTAAGAGGGATGGAAGACAATTCTTTAAGACGAGGTGCTCTGGGGAGGGGCATCTGGGAGACACCTGAGTGACATGAGGAACCTAAACAAAGGGGCTTTCTTATTAAATGCATGCATGCACACACACACACACACAGAGCTGGGCTCTAATGCTGACTGCTTCACTGGTTGGCTATGAGGCTCGGGCCTGTTTCCCCATCTGCCTCTGAGGGTGACAATAAAAGATGATCTCTGGGTCCAACTCAGTGTGACATTTCCTGCCTGTGGCCCAGTGGCAGGGGCGGGGGGAAGTCACCATCTTGGCAAGCCAAAGAGCCATGAGAAGAAGTCAATATATTCAGCCAAGAGGGGTGGCCCAGTGGCAGGGGCGGGGGGAAGTCACCATCTTGGCAAGCCAAAGAGCCATGAGAAGTCAATATATTCAGCCAAGAGGGTGCCACATGCATTACCTTCATCGCTCTGGGCCACCAATTGCAGCTCTGGCTGCAATCTGGCTCCCATGTCAGCCACCACAGTCACCTTTCTAAAGACCTGTCATTCCTACACTCTAACACCCTCCATGGCTCCCCACTTCCCTCAGGCTGGCACCCAAAACCCTTAAGGAGCTCACTCCAGCCCACTCTCGACTTCAGCCTAAAGGATCCCCCTTCTCAGTCTGCTTTGGACCCCTCTTTCTTCACCTGATTTGTAAATGTTGGTGTTCCTTAGAGCTATGTTGTCTCCCCTTTCCTCTATGTACACCTCCCTTCCCGTGGTCTCTAAGGCAGTTCCCATGTCTCAGTGTCCAACACCGAGTATCCCCCTGATAGGTCCAGCCCCCTTCTGGACATCCCCCTGGAGGCATCTCCCAGACCCTTAGATTCACCTCTCCTCCTTCCTCCATCTTTCTCCCCACATCCAGTCTGTTGCCAGTTCCTGCCAGTTGTCTATCCTAAGCATCTTTCACATCCATCCATTCTTCTCCATCCCATTGTCCTAACCCACATCAGGCCATCACTGTGGTAGGCACCTCCTTCTGGTCTCCAGTCTATTCCCCACACAGCAACCAGAGGGATCTTCCTAAACTTAAATCATATCATGTCCCTCCCCTGTTCAAAATCCTCCCACGGCTCCTCACTACACTCACTCTGAATAAAAGTCAAACCCTCGCCAGGGATCACAACACCCTGTGTGGCCTGGCCCCTGTTGATCCCTCTAGCCCTGTGTCCCACCACTCTCCCCCTAACTCCAGCCCTCTCTGGCCACAGGCCAAGCTCATTTCCACCTCAGAGCCTTTGCACATGCTGCTCCCTCTACCATATGCCTTTTGCTTGTCTCTGCACACACCAGCTCCTCCTCACCCTCCAAGCCCAGCTCCGCTTCATCAGTCCACTCCTTTCCACCCCAGTCAGCCATCTCCCCTCCATTACTCTCAAAAGAATGACTAAGCACCTGCTACACTCGATGACTTCCACAGTCACTGGTTTCATCTCCCCAGCAGCCCTCAGAGAGAGTTGGAGGACTCCTGAGTGGAGTCATAGCAAGAGCCCCCATCCCAACCCAGGAAAATTCCACTTGAAATCCCAATAAAGGAAATGTCTTCCTGAAGGATTACAGTGAAGGAATTGAGACAAGAGAAAGCGCCAGCCCTGGGAAAGGGGTTCCTGCTCCAGGCGGCTGGGTACATGGAGAGGGTTAGAGAGTGGAGTTCTGAAGCCCAGTGCCCACCTCACCTCCTCCCTATGTCAGGCCCGGGCTGCAGCCCTTCCCAGTACAGACCCCAGCTCTGCTCCTAGCAGGAAGAGCGCATGCTGTGGGTCCCCAATGGTGCTCTTCCTGGGAGCCTTGGGTTTCTCATCTACAAAATGGGGATCATAGCAGGAGGTCCATCTGATATCCATGGAAGGAGCTCAGTAGACAGTGCACTGGGGAAGTTCTATGCTTTCCACAGCTAGGTTCCCCCATGCCCCCAAATAAGAGTGCCTCTGTCTAACACCCCCAAAAGGTGTTACATAACCTTTGAGGTAGTATAGCCACTGTGGGAAATAGCTTGGCAGTTCTTCAGAAAGTTCAACATAGAATTATCATATGACCCAGCAATTCCGCTTCTAGGCGTACACCCAAAAGAAAGGAAGATAGGTGTTCAAATACTTGTATATAAAAGTTCATAGCAGCACTATTCACAGCAGCCAAAAGGTGGAAACAACTCAAGTGTCCATCAATGGATGAATGGATAAACACAATGTGGTAGATTGATACACTGGAATATTATGCAGCCATAAAAAGGGATGAAGCCCTGACACACACTGCAATGTGGATGAACTTAGAAAACGTCATGCTGGGTGAAAGAAGCCAGACACAAAAGGCCACATTGTATGGTTCCATTTATATGAGTGTCCAGAACAGGCAAATTCATAGAAACAGCAGATTAGTGGCTGCCAGGGGCTGGGGGATGGGTCTGGAGAGTGACTGCTAATGGGACAGGGTCTCCTTTTGGGTTGATGAAAATGTTCTGGAACTAGAGGTGGTGGTTCACTACATTGTGAATGTGCTAAATGCCCCTGAATTGTACACTTTGAAATGGTTAATTTTGTATTAGGTGAATTTACTTCAATAAGATAGATAGATACCAAAAAGAAAAAAAAAATATCTTTGAGGACCTACGAGAAATTGACCATAGTGGCCTCCTCTGGAAAGGGCTTGGAAGAACTGCAGGCAGGAGTGGAAGGGAAACAATCTTCACTCTCCACCTTTCTGGATCTCTTGACTTTCTATACCATGAGCACATGTCACCCATTCAAAAATGTTTTAATTAACTATAGAAATTCATTATTTGACTGTACAACACAAAGAGTGAATCCTAATGTAAACTGCAGAGTTTAGTTAATAATGACAATGTATCACTATTGATTCATTCATTGTAACAACTGTATTACATTAATGCAAGATGTTAATAACAGGAGAAACTAGGGAAGAAGAAGGGGTATATGTAAACTGCAGAGTTTAGTTAATAATGACAATGTATCACTATTGATTCATTCATTGTAACAAGTGTATTACATTAATGCAAGATGTTAATAACAGGAGAAACTAGGGAAGAAGAAGGGGTATATGGGGACTCTGTGTAGTTTGGGGGCAACTTTTCCTTAAGCCTAAAACTACCCCCCAAAAAAAGGTCTATTAAAAAATCAGTTGAAATTAAAGTCTATTAAAATGAGTTGAAATTAATTAAAAATTAATTAGGAGGCTTCAACAGTGAAGGGGTGTGTTTTGTCACACTGGTAGTTCTTCCCTTTCTTGATCTGGGTGCTGGTGACAGGAGTGGATTCAATTTGTGAAAACTCTCGAATGGTCCTGTTCTGGAACGTGCACTTTCCTGGACATCTTTACACTTCAGCTTAAAAAACTACAAATAAAATGAAAAGTTGCTTTCAGGTTGCATCATCTTGTATAATGTATGCTTTTGACTCCAACAGGCCTGGGTTCAAGTCGCAGCTCTGGCCCTCCCCAGATGAGCAGCCTTGGGTAAGTCCAGTTCCCTGCCCTAGACTCCATTTGCCAGTCTGTGAAATGGGTTAATATTAATAGGACCTACCTCCTAAGGTTGTTTGGGACAGTTTAGTGAGATAAGGCATGGAAAGGGCTTGTCCTGTAGCATGCAAAATATTAGCTATTATTACTATTCCTATTACTGCTATTTCATAGGAGTGAGAGAAATTCAGAGCTGGCATCTCAGAATGCCGTGGGCGCTGGTGCACCCACTCCCTCTCTACGCCGGCCCCCAATCTCATCCCTGCTGCAGGTGGCCCCACCTGCCCGCCTGCCCTGCTGGGACCCATGTAATCTGCCAATGGAGGTGCCAGCGACCGGCTCCGCAGCCCAGCCCACACCCAAGGAGCGCTGGTTTGTCAGGTTGGCCTGGCCAGCCACCAGCAGGGGACTTGTTATACAAGGCGTGTGGGCTCCCAGGAAGGAATGCAGAACATGGACCCAGGCCAGCGCCAGGCACCTCAGACACACCTCTTTTTGAATGGCAGGTGCTAGGGCCAGCCAGGTGGCCTGCTGGAGAGCACCCTAATGCTGGTTCCATTGTTCACATCTCAGCCCTCCTCTCCACTCCCTCTAGCAGCCTGTGGTCAAGGCAACCTGTCTCCTGTCCCGGCTCATGGTACCCCCTTGATTCCCTCAACACCAAAGGGCAGACTCCCCCAGAGACCATATTCCACCAAAGAGCTAGACCCCAGAAGGTCTAAGCTGAGAGGGGGATTCTAGGTCTGGGGTCTCCACTCAGAGCACCCCAAATTTCAGGAGCCCTGGGAAAGAGCTTCAGGGTCAGTTATGACTAATGAGGGCAGGTCCAAGTTGGCAAATGGGATGTGGGAAAGCCCCACCAAAGTTTTGAACATATTTTAACCTTTTGCCTGAAGCTTCCTCAATCCAAACAGAAAAAGAAGTTTTAAAACCCTCAGTAATCTAGATCCTTCCAGGGGTGTAGTCATCTCTGCCTACTATCCCAAGTGTGGCCACACTTCGACATGAGCCTCAGAAAGGATTCTATAAAGCTCTGCCTCTTAGCTCTGTGACCTCAGGTGAGCGTCTGCACCTCTCTGAGCCTCCGTTTCTTCATCCATCAGATAGGAACCATATTTACCCACCTTGTGGCGCTGTGATGACAACAGCATTTCTAAAGTGCTCAGCTCACTGCCAGGCACACAGTAAGCCTTTGATCAAATGTACTTCTCATTGCTGGTGGTTTTGCCATAATATTCATTATTATTACCTTGCCATCTGCTATTTGGAGAATCTAGCCCACAGTTTGTCAAGGAAGAGAGATGGGATACCATTTTCTAAATGTCTTCTGGGTCATCCAAGCCCCTCTGCGGATACCAACCCAGGTCATCGCCGGACACCAGCTCAGAGCTAATGTTACCGCTCAGAAACCCAAGCTGGGCTAGACGGAGATGCTGTGGCCATCGGAAAGTGACCCAGGATTTTGGGGTCAGAAAGAGTTTGTTTTTCAAATCCCAGCTCCCCTACTGGGTGTCCAAGGGCACATGCTTCCTCACTCTAGGTCTCAGTTTTCTCACCCGTAAAATGAGAGTGGTTGGGAGGATTTGGGAAGGTCCTCCTCTTCAGGGATAGTCAGCAGCTTGCAGGTACTCAAGGAAGAGTTTGATGCTGCCAGCTCTGGCTGGGCTCAGCTCCAGGACCCAGAAATGGAGGGAGGGGCGAGGAGTACAGAGAAGGAGGGTTTCCAGGCATCCAGCCAGCCTTAGCCATCTCCTTCACCTATGGGGTGGTGACTGATGCCCAATGAATGCAAGTACGACAGGTGAGTGGGCGGGCAGACCAGGTGAGGCATCCTGAGCTTGGGCACCTCCAGCCACCCCTCACGGAGGCCAGATGCAGCCTCTCTTTGCTCTCAGTCTCTTCCTTCCTGTCTCTCTCCCACTTACAGCCTGAGACTCCCCAGGTAGTGGGCCTCGGCCTCATGGCATGGCCCAGGCTAGCCAGCCACCCCCTGGCCCAAGGGGTGCTGGACCACACCCCTGGAACGCCGGAAAGCATCTATCTAACATCACCTGGGACCAACTGCAGGACCTCACACAATCCTCCAGGCCAACTCTGGGGTCTCTGAAGGACATCCTCTTTTCACAGAGGGGGACTTGGACACTTTGTGTCTGCCATGGACGGGCAGAGGGTCCCTAATGGTGTCTGGACCACAAGCATTAACCCCATAGGTCTCCCCTTCAACACAATGGGCAGTGGTGAAATCCCAGGGACCCCAGTCAGTCCCAAGGAGGCGTCACAGGGCAGAGCTGGGATTCATCCAGGATGTCCTGACCCGGAGTGGGGATCTTTTTGAGGCTCCTTCTCATCACAGACACCCAGAGAGAAGGATACACCCCAGGACTCCGAAGCGCACACAGAAAAAATCGTGCACAAAAGCAGCAACCCTCGGGGACACACTCACAGCTCCCCCGAGGGTTTCGGACATGCAGCCCCGTCCCGGGTCCTGGGGGTCACCAGGGCCGGCTCAGACTTTGGCACCGGCCCCTGCAGCCCCGAGCCCGGCGCGCCTCGAGCTACCGCCCCCCGAGCTCACTCACCCGGCGGGTCTGGGCCTCCGGCGCTCGATCCCGATCCGCCGGCGCCGCAGCCTCGGCTCTGACCGCGCCGTCCCGCCGCCCGGCGCTTTAACCCCGCCCGGCCGCGCCGCCAGGTCCGCCCCGGACACGCCCCCGGGCGCCCCGCCCCGGCTGCCGGCCTCTGGGCGGGGACCGAAGCGCGCGCGGCCCCCAGAGATGGAGGGAACGACAAGGGACTGAGACGTGAAGGCGTGGAGAGAGACTCAGCACCAAGGTCAAGGGTTCGGATCCCCCTACCGGACAGCCGCCAAAACAAAAAACAAAAAAGAAAGGGAGAGAAACTGAGGCTGAGATGGAGAAAGTAACAGAAGGAGAAATGGAGAGAAAGTTAGAGAAAGAGACAGAGGGAGGAAGACTCGGACACCTAGAAACCCCAAACCATCGGGCTCCCCGCCTCCTGCCCCTGCTTGGCTCCCATTAGCTCCCGGTTCCCCCTGGGATCACCCTCTTCCCACACCAGCACCCCTCATGGCCCAAACTTGGACAGGCCCCCAGGAGCCTCCTCTGGGGCCCCTCGAAATTCTCAGACTCCACCAGCCCTTGGGAACCAGGCTTTCTGCTCTCTGGATCCTGGGCATAACTCACACCCCTGGGGGGTTCTACAACCAGCAGCAGCCTCTCCCTCCAGGAAGACCTCCAGCCTCGACAAGCAGCACCAGACTAGTTCTGCTCCTCTCACCCCTCCCCACCCACTGCCGGACACCTTGACCCAGCGACCGGGATGTTGTCCTTGGCCAGCCCATCTGCTCCAGATGTGTCCAGACAGAGTCATCCACACCTCTGGATGTGAGGCAGAGATACCATTCCTGGGTCGGTGGGTGGGTGGGTAGGTGGGCGGGTATGTGGGTGGCTGACCTGGGCAAGTGGGCAAACAGATGGGAGGACAAGTGTGAGAAGTTCCACTTACTCCAGCAGGTGGTAAACTTAGAATATTTCTTTATTCCACTTCATTTCAACTTGGTACTGGGCCCTTAGAGGGCAGGGGAAGGGGGAAGAGGGGGACACATTTGGAGATGAAAAAGAGGAGATACTAATAACTGAAGCTTTGCTGCTTGGAGGAGGCAGAAGGGAGGCCAGGGAAGGCGACGTGAACAATGTGACATTTGAGCTGGGACTGCAGGGAGAGGTTGGATTTCAACAGGTGCAGGAGAGGGGGTGGGGCTTGGGCACAGAGAAACTGGAAGGTGTGGCTTGGCAGGTGGCTTTCCCTGGCCTTGGGGTGTGAGAGGGTGAGGAGACTGGAGGGGTGCAGGGGTGGACTGTGAAGGACCTCAAAGGCCAGCTCAAGTAGCGAGGGGTTGATTTGGTGAGCAATAGGGAGCCATGGATGGTGCTTGAGCAGGGGAGGAGCCCCCTGTCCATTTGTTTTAAAGCACATTCAAGCTATTTTCTTTTTTTCTTTTTTTTTTTTTAGGAATGTAGATTTAGTTTTGCCAATGATGCCAGCAAAGAGGAACACATTGGAGACACTTTGGAAAATACAGAACAGCACAAAGAGCAAAGAGTTTGAGAGAAAACCCTCCAGTGGCTGAAAGAGGTCAGGGGCGAAGGATGGGGTAGGTGAGGCTGAGGTCCAGGAGGTCATCTGCTTTGGTCACTGGCTGGATGCAGGGTTCTAGACAGCAGAGAAGGAGAGGAAGAAAGGGCGTCCACCCAGCTTCTCTGCTGTCAGAGGGATGGAGACCAGGAGGGAGGATCAAGTCAGAGGGCCTGGGAATGAAGAGGCACTGAGAGTGGGCTTCCTGGCCATGTGGCCTTGGGCAAGTCCTGTGACCTCTCTGAGCCCCTGTCCTCCTACAGATAAAATGGAAAAGAAGGCCATGAGATGAAGTGGAGTTTGCAGGGTGCTCAGCCCTGCACCTGCAGAGCACAGGCTGGGCAAACATCAGCCCTCTGAGTTTGAGGTTTGATGTGGGCTATCCCAGCGGTTCTCAACTGGAGCAGATTTCTGCCCGAGGGGACATTTGGCAATGTCTGGAGAGACTTTTGGTTGTCACACTGGTGAGGAGGGATGCTACTGGCATCTAGTGGGTGGAGGCAGAGATTCTGCTCAACACCCACACTGCACAGTGCACAGGGCAGCTCCTACCACAAAGAACAATCCAGCCCCAAATGTCAACAGTCCTGAGGTTGGGAAACTCTGGGTCACCTTCAGTTGAAGAGGCCCATGGTATGTTCAGGAGAAACCCAAGCCCAAGTGAGGGCACATCATGACAAGTGTGTCTGTGAGTCATCTGCATTGGGAAGACTGTGGATGCCATGCAAGTGGGTCAGTGAAGTCATTCAGGGAGGAAGGTAGACAGAGAAGAAGATGGGGAAACAGAAGTATTGGTCACAGCTTCATTTAGAGAGAGGACAGGCAGAGGCAGGGAAATGAAGGGGGAGATTAAGGAAGAGTAGTAATAGGTACTGTCACCTGTACCTAGAGATCAAAGAGCCTGGGCTCTAGGGAAGGGAGCTGTGTGGTTACCAGGTCACCAGAGTCCTCAGCTGGGCGCAGCCCAAGTCCCAGTGGGCTGAGGTCAGAATGGGAGGGCAGGAAGTGGAGGCGGTGGCTGAGATGGTACTAGAAAGCTGTCTGGAAGCAGATGAGGCAGAGCATGGCAGGAGTCCAATGAAGGGCTTTTCCTGAGGCTCTAGAAGCTCACAGCAGACTCTTAGGGTAGAGATAAGAAGAGGGATCTCCTCATACGCTGCTGGTGGCAATGTAAAATGGTGAAGCCGCTGTAAAGAATAGTTTAGCAGTTCCTCAAAAAGCTAAACACAGAATTACCGTATGACCTGGAAACCCCACTCCTAGGAATAAACCCAAAATAACTGAAAACAGGTATTCACACATATACTTGTACAGGAATGCTCATAGCAGCACTATTCACAATAGACAAAAGGTGGAAACAACCCAAATGTCCGTCAGCAGATGGGTGGATAAACAAAAGTGGTGCATCCATACAATGGAATATTCAGCCATAAAAAGGGATGAAGCCCTGGTCCATGCTATGTGGATAAACTTCACAAACATTCTAATGAGTGGGGGAAAAAAAAAAAAAACAGACACAAAATGTCACATATTATTTATATGAAATATCCAGAATATGTAAATCCACAGAGACAGAAAGTAGAATAGTGGTTTCCAGGGGCTGGGAGAGGGGGAATGGGAAATGAATCTCAAACCCAGGAGGAGTGGGTATGGGATCTCCTTTTGAGGTGACAAAAATATTTTGGAACTAGATAGAAGTGATGGTTGCACAACATTGAGAATTCACTAAATGCCACTGAGTTGTACCCTTTAAAATTGTTCATTTAAAATAAATAAATAAATAAATAAAATTGTTAGTATTATGTTGCATGAATTTCACTTGTAAATTTTTTTTTTTTTTGACCGGTAAGGGGATCGCAACCCTTGGCTTGGTGTGGTCTGCCCCACGCTCAGCCAGTGAGTGCACCGGCCATCCCTATATAGGATCTGAACCTGCGGCCTCGGGGCTACCAGCGCCACACTCTCCCGAGTGAGCCACGGGGCTGGCCCGCACTTCAATTTTTTTTTAAAAAAAGAGGGTTCTGGCAGGAAACAGATAGAACAGTTAAATGGGATGATTTGAAGGACGTTTAATAAAAGTGTTATTTCCAAGGGGCTAGTGCAGCACCGTGGGGGCTAATAACAGCCAAGAGTCGATACCACCCTTGGGGCCTGGGGCTCAGGAGCTAAAGCAGAAACTGGAACCTGGACTAAACAGGGGTATGTGGAGAGGAACTGTGAACCTTCAGTCAAGGGGCACAGCCAGGCTGCATGGGTCACACAGGAAAGGAGGTGAGGTATAAATACTCTGACCTCACTCTCCTCCCTCGCTCCAGTGCCTGCTGTGGCTCCCTATTGGTTGAACCCAATGGGAAGCCATAAGGCAAAGGAGCCTATTGTGTGGTCCATATATGAGTAGGACAGTCTCCCGGAACACAGAAAATGTAGGCAGAAGAGTGCAGCAGGACAGGGAATAGCAGAGATTTGAAGCAAAGAGGAGAGCAGATCAAAGGTATGAAGCAAATTGGGGGAGTGAGGGGGTGGGAAACAGCCCCATCTGACTCACCTGCTCACCATCCACACACCAGCCACTTGGGACCATTTTTGCTAAACCCACCAAGACCATCTCTCCCACTTCAAAGCCTTTTGTACATGCTGTTCCCTTGGCTTGGAATTCTTTCACTCACTCAGCTAATTCCTACTTATCATTCAGATTTCAACTCAATGGCCATTTTCTCTGAGGGTTTTCCCAACCACTGGGGTCAGTTCAAGCCCAAATTCAATGCAGCCACAGCTCCTGTGAATCTTCAGTCCCAGCAAAATTGCTCTTGGAATGATTTGTTTATCAACTGTTTTCCTGGATGGAGCTGTGATCTCCATGCAGAGGGACAGGGTTTTTCTCATTCTCTGCCTTTTCCCCAGCCCCAGCTGGCACACAGCACGTATTCAACCAACAAATGCCAAGTTCCCACAGAGTGCCAGGGGTTGTTCTACAGTAAACAAACAGAAACATATAATCTAAAAAGGTATATGCTATGTGATACATGCTATGGAGGAAAATCCAGCAAGGTAAGGAGATTGGGAATGCCTCTATGAGGCATGGTGATATTTGAGCAGAGACCTTAAGAGAGAGAAAAAGCATTTCAGACAGAGAGCACAGCTTGTGCAAAGGCCCTGAGGCTGGATTATGCCTTAAGGAATAGCCAAGAGACCAGTGAGGCTGGAGCAGAGTGAGTGAGGAGAATGAGAGATGAGGGTGGGGCAGTGACAGGACAGATTGTGTAGGGCCTGGTGCACCACTGGGAGGACTTAGGTTATTACTCTGAGGAAGGTGGGAGTCACGGAGTGTTCTGAGCAGATGAGGGATGTGACCTGACTTTTAGGTTCTCACAGGCTCCCTCTGGCTGCAATGTTATGGACAGACTAAAAGAGGACCAAGAATTCCCCCTTCACTGAAGTGACTGAATTGTGAAAGGTGACAGAATTTGGGATTTGTTTTAAAGGT